TGTGGTACTGTAAAAATATTGCCATTTCCTTGGAAAAGAATAATATTGTGACAATAAGGATAGCTCTTACTGAATATATGTTATGTACCAGGCACTGTAAGTAATACTTTATATGTAAAATTGCATCTCTTCCTAAATCTGTAATGTGGGCATTTTCTCAAATTACAGGTGACTCAGAAACATTTAGAAAATAAGTTATGGAGAAAGTGCTAGAATCCATTTGCCTTATTCTAAAGTCCATTTCTTTTCATTACCCATTTGATTTATATCTAAAATCAGATGCTATAAAGAATACAACTTACTAGGTTAAGAGTTGGGGAGGGATACAGGGATTGGTTTGGGGGCCCTTTGGGAAGGAAGGTGAATACACTGGTGACGGGGGTGGTGTTGGAAGTATTTTCATGAGAAAAAATTATTAATAGTATTGTAAAACATCACAGCAGAGCCTGGCAAGCTCCCCATGGCATATTCGATATGCCAAAAACAGTAACAATAACAGGTCTCATTCCCCTGACCCTGAAATAGCCTCTAAAATGGCATTGCTGGGAAGGACAAGTAAAGAGAGGCTGCGAAAATCTCAGAGATAGGATGAATGGAGACGTTACTGGCGCCCACTCAAGCAACTCAATGAAAAAAAGGATGACAGCGATACAGTGATACAGTGATTGTAAAACATGGTACCAGTTTTTTTTATTAATTTTTTTTATTTTTAGTGAAACACCATGAGGTACAGTTGTAGATTTACAATTTTTTGTGCTTGGGTTTCGATTATACAATGATCAAATACCCATCCCTCCACCAGTGCCCATTTTCCACCACCATGGATGATATCCCTTCCACCCCCATCCCTCCCATCTCACCCTGCCTCTGTGGCAGGGCAATCCCTTGTGTTCTCTCTCTCCTTTTGAGTGTTGTGGTCTGCAAAAGAGGCTTTGAGTGGCAAACATGTTCAGTCCATAGTCTACTTTCAACACGCATCTCCCCTCATGGGAGGATCCTCCAAACACCCTTTATTTGGTGCTCCCTTCTCTATCTGAACTGCCCTTTCCCCTAGAATGCCTGGCTGGCCTCTGAGCTATGGAGTAATCCTCCTGGTGTTGATCTCAGCTATTCTTGGGTATTAATCTCATATTTTGTTTCTTTATATTCCCCAGATGAATGCAATCTTTCTATGTCTATCCCTCTCTTCTAACTCATTTCGCTTAGCATGATACTTTCCATGTTGGGTACCAGATTTTAAAAATGAATATTTAGGGCTAGGGATATGACTGAGTGATAAAGTGCATGACTTACATACACTTTATATTTAGAATATAAGGCAAGATTTTATATTCTAAAGATAGTCTCCTGTTCTTTCTGTTCTCCCTTAAATCTTCCTTGTACCCATAGATAAACTAAAGCCTTAAGCTCTGAGATTACAGTTATGTATGTTCCCTTTAATTTTATCCCCTATATTTCCTTCAACATTATGTCCTGAGTTTTCTATACCCATACAAACTTCATGTATATGAACTATATGCCCCAAAGTCACATCTGATTCCCATTGTAAAAAATAACAAGCTCCTTTAAATTAATTAGAATTCTAACTTGACCATCAGCAGGATTGCACATACTTGGAATCATTCAGCAATATTAAAACTGAGACATTTTAAAGGCAACTCTCACCTGCGAGATTGGGAAAAATATCCCTTTGTAGAAAGACCTGGGTTTAGGAATCTCTCCCAATTAGAATCTATTTCCTGACCTTTAAATCCCCTCTGGTGTTAGGCTAAGAAGATTTATAACATTCCAAGAAAGTGAAATCCAGAGATCACAAATGCAAGGACCTAGTTAAAGTCATTTGTAGTAAGAAAAATCAGTTATATAATCAATATCACCATCATTAAGATTTACTAAGCCCTCTTTCAACATGATTAAAAGCTGGGCAATATAGTACTGCATGTCGTGAATGATTCACAGCTTAATAATCAAACCCTCTATTACCTATGGAACATATTCTCAATCTATTGTGTCTTAAGAGATAAAGTGCTACAACATGAAAAAAGGTGGCACATGCTGAAAATAGAAAATTTTAATATATTCCATTAGTTTAGTGTATCAGAAAATCTGGTGGTTGTGTAGAAAATGACTTTATTTCAGCCTTTATCATTGGCAGCTGATAAAAGACCAATATCCACTGATATTTATCCATAATATGTTTACAATGTGTCTAGTTGTGAGAAAAGATTTATATAAACCAAAGAAGACACAATGGTAAAGTCATTCTATGTACTGGGTGTAAGCGAATCATGTCTAAAATAAATCCCTTATTTTCAGATAAATAAATGATAAATCAAAAATAGAATAAAATTATTGCAATAATGCTGAATTCAGCCATTTGGAGAATAGAATCGTCCTGATTCCCAAGGAAGAGACAATAATCTTGAAAAATAACATTGCAAAACCAAAAGAGAATCTTTTAAGGAATTCCAAAATTCAAGATGATATGACTGCTATAAGAAGAATTAATCATTACAATAATAAAGAATAAAATACTAAAGCCAGGAGATCGGATAGCTGTAAGGATCTTGCCTTACATTCAGACGACCTGGAGGTCAATCCCTATCAACCCATATACTCTCCTAAGCAATATCAAGAGTGAGTTTTGAGTATAGAGCCAGGAGTAAGTCTTGAGCACCACCACCAGGTATGGCCCCAATGCAAAAATTAAAACCAAACAAAAGAACAAAATACTGAAAGAACTTAGACGCTAAAAGTTAATAAGGGTAGGGGGCTGAGTGATAGTACAGTTGGTAGAGTGCTTGTCTTGCACACAGCCAACTTCCAAGACTCTTTGCCAGAAGTGATCCCTGAGTGCAGAGGCAGGGGGAAGCCAAGAGTACCGCAAGCTGTGGCCCAAAAGAAACAAATAAATAAAAAGTTAATACGATACCCTATAAGAGTAAAGCAAGAGAAGGCAAAATTAGAAACTAATCATGGAAACGATCTATTAAAAATATAATTGGAACTGTAAAAAGACACATGGGAAGGGGAAACTTAGGTTCCTACTATGCAGTAGGGAATATAATTTTCATTAATCAGGTCATTAATAAAAAGGAGAAAGAAAATAATAATTCCATCTAAGAATAATGAGCGACTCTAAAATCTTGAATATAAAAAATCAACAAAAGACACTTTTGAATAAGACTTCCAAGGGATAAAAAATTATTGTGGAATGTTTTGCCAATCAAAACTTAAGTTATGTAAGGTATAATTTATTATTATTTAAGAAAAATAAACTCAATACTTGGTATCGTGAATTTGTTATTTATTTAAGGGAGAAAGTCCATAAAACCCAGGCCTCAGAACACCAAAACATCGGAAGAAAATAGAACAATTTCTCAGCTGGAGTGAAAGAATAGTAGGTAAAGTTCTTGCCTTGCACGCAGTGGACCTGGGTTTGATCCCAACACCACATTTCCTCCCCTGAGCCCCACCAAGAATGCTCCCTGAGTGCAGAATCAGAAGTAAGTTCTGAGCACCACCAAGTGTGCCACTCTCAAAAAAAATTACAAGTATTTATAAATATTTTCAATCCAGAAAGACTATTTCTTTAGTCAAGATTCTGATCCAGTGTAATATATACTACCCCAAAAGCCACCCATTGGTCACCTTCCCTCAGTAACTCTTCCATACTCTTTATATTAATTCTATTTCCTTTTTAAAAACCATACAGCTATTCATAACTGTATCAGTCTTTAGAGAGTGCTGAAATGTTAATGATATTCTCTAAAAGGGCAGTAATGATGTAATGTAAAAATGTTTGCTGTCATACCCTTTCAACTTTACGGTGTGCTTATTTTCCTTATAAGAAATAAGAAAATTAAAGCTTCAAAATCATCTTTTTTCTACTGGCTAAAATCAAAAACTGCCTTAAGAAAATCTCTTCAGTAGAACTCCCCATAAGATGGTAGGAGGAATACTGGGAAAATTGGTGGTAGAGAATGGGCACTGGTCGAGGAAAGGGTACTTGAACATTGTATGACTGAAATGCAATCATAAAAGTTTGTAAGTTTGTAACTGTATCACACGGTGATTCATTAAAACAAAGTTTTAAAAAAAATTATCCTTTCTTTGTCAGATGCAAAGATTTTCATGCATTCAGTAGGATGTTTTTCTTTTTCGGTTTTTTTTTTTTTTTTTGGACCACACCTGGTAGTGCTTAGGACTTACTTCTGGCTCTGTGCTCAGGTATCACTTTTTTTTTTAAAAGAATTAACCCTATTTTATTTTATTTTATTTTATTATTTTTTAAACATCCAAGCTTAATTTATTTATTTTGGGGTCAGACCTGGCTCTGCACTCAGAAATTAGCTCTTGGTAGTGTAAGGTGGACCATATGGGATGCCAGGGATTGAACCGGGGTCAACCGCATGCAAAGCAAATGCTCTCCCCACTGTGCTATCACTCTGGCCCCCAATGTTTTTCATTTTAATGAGTTTCTTTCACTTGCAGAAGGTTTTAAATTTGATATAATCCCATTTGTTTATTTTTTTTATTTCCATTACTCTTGGAATTTGAATCCAGTACGTGGAGTATTTTTCTTGTTTTCTTCATCCAGTTCTATGGTTTGAGGTACTTAACAAAAACATTTTCCACCCATTTTGAATTAAATTTTGAGCACTGTGTAGGATAGTGAACCAGTTTTGTTTCCCTACATGAGATTGTCCAGCTTGCCCACTCCCATCCATTAAAAAACTTACCTTTCTCTATTTTATGCTTTTGGTCTTTTGTCATAAATGTGTGAGGGTTTAATCCAGGGAACTAAATTTATTCAACTGATCTGCATGCTATTATTATTCCTAGATACTGTTTGGATAACTATAGTACTATAGTATAGTTTGAAGTCAGAAAACATGATGCTTCCATTTCTCTTCATTTGTCTCAGGACTGCTTTGACTATTAAGAATTTTTTTGGCTACATACAAATTTCACTAATGCTTGCCCTATTTTATTTTCTTCAGGGCAGAGCATGTATGCAGTCCCCCACTACCACAAATTATGCAGTCAAGTTTCCCACATTTGGGGAAATTGCAGGGGTCAGCACATCCAGAGTGCAGTGGATAAGCCTTGCACTGGAAAAAAATACCTTCATGATCATGCTGTCTCCCATACCAGGAAATTATTGTTTGCCCTATTTTTTAAATTTATTTATTTATTTATTGAATCACTGTGGGAAAGGTTACAAAGCTTTCAGGTTTAGGTCTCAGTCATGCAAATATCAAACACATTTCCCTTTACCAATACTTATTTTTTACCATGAAGAACCCCAATAAAACTCCACCCCCCACCCCTCCCAGTACCTGTGAGGCAGATGAATTCTAGTTAACACTCTATCTGCTTTGATTAGATTCATTGTTTCAATAAAAGATTCACCACTATTATTTAGAGTTTACCGCCCCCCAAATCAGACATGCTGAAAAAGCATTGTGAAGTGATTTGCTTTCTACAGCTGGGTTCAAGAATCAAATGTTGGTTTTGGATTTCTGCTATTTTACTTATTGACCCTGGAAGTATTTCTACTGAAAGTCAGATAGTTAAGAAATTGGTTTCTGTGCTCTGGAGTTGTGGCCGTGCTGGAGAGCCGCTTGTGGGGGGCAACTGGTGGCCTCAGTAGGGCGTGAAGGGCGGACCGAAACGCCCCCCTTCCCATGAGGTTTTAGTCGCCCCCACACTCCCGGCTCATACCTGCTGTCCACAAGGCTCCCATGCGGCCGCCATCCTTCTTTCCAGAGAGGAGAGGGTGAATGGGGCAACACCCTTTCCCCTCTGGCACACTTGATGGCCTGGATTAACGCATAGTCCGTTCACTTTTCTGCTCCAAGCTTCCGGGTTCTGCATTAAGTCCTTGTGCTTCTGGGGCCGTGGCTGTGCTGGAGAGCCGCTCGCGGGGGGCAACTGGTGACCTCGTTAGGGCGTGAAGGACAGACCAGAACGCCCCCCTTCCCATGAAGTTTTAGTCGCCCCCACACTCCCGGCTCATACCTGCTGTCCACAAGGCTCCCATGTGGCCGCCATCTTTCTTTCCAGAGAGGAGAGGGTGAATGGGGCAACACCCTTTCCCCTCCGGCAGACTTGATGGGCTGGATCAACGCATAGTCCGTTCACTTTTCTGCTCCAAGCTGCTGGGTTCTGCATTAAGTCCTTGTGCTTCTGGGGCCGTGGCTGTGCTGGGGAGCCGCTCGTGGGGGGCAACCGGTGACCTCGGTAGGGCGTGAAGGACGGACTGGAACGCGCCCCTTCCCATGAGGTTTTAGTCGCCCCCACACCCCTGGCTCATACCTGCTGTCCACCAGGCTCCCATGCGGCCTCCATCCTTCTTTCCAGAGAAGAGAGGGCGAACGGGGCAACACCCTTTCCCCTCCGGACAGACATGATGGCCTGGATTAACGCATAGTCCATTCACTTTTCTGCTCCAAGCTGCCGGGTTCTGCATTAAGTCCTTGTGCTTCTGGGGCTGTGTCCATGCTCCAAACATAACTCTGATTTTCAGGGAGAAACGTTGGGTGGTTTACTTCCCATTGATCACTTTTTATATAGAGAGATGTCGTGCGGCCGCATAAGCGGCCGCGCTGTTTTGAGGAAAAGTGCTAGTTCCCGCATACTCGAGCTGTGCTTGTAGAGGCTTCTGGTCACCGGGGTTCCATCTGGGGGAGGCGGGATGCGGTACCTACCCCATCTGGGACTTCCCGATGATCTCGGCTCTTTTTGGAACCTGTTTTTTTTTTCCTCCGGGAGCTGTGGATCCCGCCCTCCATGTGGCCCTTCTCTTCGGCTGTATGCTCTGTTTGCCCTATTTTTTCTCCCAAGAATTTCACAGAGATTTAGATATTACATTTAATCTACATAAGCCTGAGTGGCCTGGCCATTTTGACAATGTTAATTCTTCCTATACATGAAAACAGAGTATTATTTTAATCATTGTATGTCTTCTTCTAAGTCCTTTAAAAGTGATAAGATTGAGCCTGAGAGGTATTACAGCATTTAAGGCCCTTGCCTGATTCAATCTGAATCCCCGGCACCACATATAGTGCCCAGAGCACAGAGCAAGGAGTAAGCCCTTAGCACCACAGACTGCGACCCCATGTCAAAAAAAAAGTAAGATCATTTTTTAAATGTAAAATCCTTTTATCTCCTTTAAGTTTATTTCTACATGTTTAATTCTTTTGGAGGTAAATATAAATAGGCTTTATAAATAGCTTCTCTTCTAATCTGCTGAGTGCCTAGAGAAACTCAATAGATTTTTAATATATTGATTTTGTAGCTGTCTCTGATTGGTTTTTGGTTTTGGAAGTGACACATGGTAGTGCTTAGGAGCTATTCCTGTTTCTATGCTTTTGGGGGGTACTTGAGATGGTGCTCTGAACCACATAGTGCGAGGGACAAAACACAGATTTTCTACATGCAAAACAAAGCATGTGCTCAGTTCTCTTGACCCCACTTGCTGTCTTATACAAATCTTAAGTTACCTTCATTGTTTTTAATTCATTCTTTTTGTTTGTGGTATTTTGGGATGGTTTCCACTACATTATCTTCAAGCTTGCTAATGAGTGGTTGAGTCACTTTTTAATTTTCTTGATTCAGCTACTATATTACTTAGCTCTATGCTTTCTGTTTGGATTTTCCTCATACTTTCTCTGACTTTGATGAAGTTTTTTTCCCATCAATCTCACTCCAGCATCATAAGGACTGTTATTTCAAAGTCTTCTCCAGGAATCTTGTATATATCCGTTGTATTAGAGATTCAGGCCTGAATTTCTAATCATCAGTGCAAGTAAGTTCTGCTATCCATTTTGTCTGGCTTTCTACAAAAACCTGAAGGTGGACCAGGGGCCTCTTTTCAAGAGGACCTGGGTGACAATCACGATTTTTTTGCTCATCAGTTCCTGGCTACAGCTGTGGTCAAAATTCGTACAGGCCTGACTATTTTTTATGAGAGACTCACAGTGATGAAGTCATGAGTGGCTCTGATTGTGGTAACAAGACTGAGTGGGCTGGTTACAAATGAGGGAGTCATAGTTTCTAGTACCTGACAACAGTCTAGGCAGTGACCAGCAAGTTCAGTCATGAGTGCCCCAGTGGTCACTGAAGTGCTATGTCACAGAAACATGGGAAACCACTGAGGAACCCATGCCAGGGCAGGTCTGAAAGAAGGCGTGGCCTCAGCACCAGCTGATGATGGAGCACTCATGGGAAAAACAGTGACTGGCCAGGACCAGCAAGGGGGTATGACACACAGGGGACATCCTTTGCACATTGGCTATGCCTTGGGAGGATGCTGAGGTGCTTGCTTACTATAAAGATGTGGCGGGCTGGAGCGATAGCACAGTGGATAGGGCATTTGCCTTGCATGCGACCAACCCAGGTTCAATTCCCAGCATCCCATCTGGTACCACCTGAGCACCACCAGGAGTAATTCCTGAGTGAAGAGCCAGGAGTAAGCCCTGTGCATCGCTGGGTGTGACCCAAAAAGCAAAAAAAAAAAAAAATGTGGCTTATTTAAAGCAATCAGGCTGGGTCTGGTAAGGACCTGGCCTATTTGTCTGCCAGGAATAAGCTCTCTTGCTTAATATTCTCTACCCGCCTACCTAGTGCAGCTCTCCGCTGGGTTAAGTTGAGCTCTCCGTAGGCATTTACACTTAGGTTCTATTAACAAGGAGACTGACCTCCAAAATGACTATTTGTGCTCATGTAAGTGAGTGTGTAAGCAGTTGCCAACATGGCAATTGTGGCAAATCTGAATCCACCCTCTAGACTTGCCCCCTGTTGCGAGGCTATTAATATGTATCAGGTTGGGAGACTGGTGTGGCAGGTATGAGACACAACCTCCAACCTCACAACATAGTTTTATGCCTTTGCAGTTTTTTCCAGACTGCTGTTTGTTTTTTTTTTTTTTTTTTGCCAGTAGGAGTCCTTTCTTGGCAATTCTCTATCGTCCACCTGGATACTGTTCCCTGGATACTGTTCTCCTTATCATGGAGATTCCATTTGTTCAGATTTTAGATCTATTTTTTGTGTAGATTAACTCAGAGTGGAATATGCTTTTGCCATGATTACGGGAAGAGTTAAGCACAATTTCTCCTCACATGGTCATCTTGACCCCCTGTATGTAATGTTTGTCAACTGTGGTGGGCCATGTATAAGTTAAACCTTGGGCAGTAAAGTCTGGTAAAGAGGGCACTATTGTAATGTAATTTATTAAATAATCCCTTCATGATTTAAAATCATTATGACTTTTATTGTTATCATTGCAGTTGAAAGCTAGATGCTTTTCATTATTATATTTCCTAGCATTTAGTTATATATAATACATATTTCTAGTCATTTTAATATTTATTCCATATATAGATATATTACTAGACAATTTTTACTACTTCTAAGACTTGCACAGTAGATTTTAGACTTTCTGGGAACACAAACACATGGAAACAGGTATGCCTTTTTATTTATATGTGATGTCCTATTGTATATTTGAAAGCTTCAAGAACTATATAAAATAATATCTTGTTTTCATGACAATAAAAATAATTTTATTAAGTAAATATTGATTAATTCCTAATCAATAAACTAACTGAAAAATCTACTCTTGGTTTCTCAGAGGTTCTGTGTTTAAAATTGGATTAGCATGTTATTAAGTGTCTTTTTCTGCCCAATAAGATAGCATAGCTCTCTGATCTTTTACCTAGAGTTAGGATTATTGCATTAATCAATTTACTTCTATTATAGAATTAATAAAAGAATTATCTTCATTTCCCAGAATATACTTAGTCATGATGCAAAATTCTTTTGATTTTTCTATTATACTCAGTTTGACTCTTTTATTTAGAATTTTTGTAACAACTCAGTGAGAAAGTTTGCAGTTGCCTCTGGTATCCTATGGATGCTCTACTACTCCCAAACTTTCACAAAATGTATTACTATTATTCATGGATCATATTGGAGAAGCAAATGGAATATTATAAAATAATTATCTTCCTATTGTTCATTTATTTGATGGAGACAGTGGTTATCCCTAATTACCCAAAAGTGATGTGGAGGGAACATTGCTTTGAAATAATTTTCATGGTAGAATTGAAGAAAATACAGGATGTTCATTTTCCTTTTCTATTACAGCATTCCTTTCTCT